TAGATGACTCAGTCAGTCTGAGGAGTGGCTACACCACCGTTTATAGAGATCTAGGTGTTAGTTAGATTTCCTTTACAGCAGCCATGGAGCTTCTTGTTCTTTTGTCTCTTTGCTTGCTGACTTTTATTGGAAAAACGTTTGGTGATGGTAAGAAAAATTAAACGCTGTGTTTTATAATTGTTTCTTAATTATAAATATCAGATTTTTATTATTTTATTATTATTATTTATTGGCTTTAAATAAGTAATCAGTTTGGACGATGTCCAAGTTTCATGTGTGCAGCAGCAGGATGCGCGTGTTTACTACACAAATAGCGGAAGTAAGACGTTTTATTTGCTGCTTATCTTAAACAGAAATGTATGCTCACTACCCCTTGTTACTGAATTGAAGCCATTAAAGAATTGCTTCCTTCTGTCCTCCTATTTGTGTTTTTGGACCATGCTTGTAATTCACATGATGCCTTATATTCAGTTAGATTGTTGCATCATCTCTGCAGCTGATAATCTGCAGTGAGGATGTTCCTCTGCGTCTTTAAAGCCACATCTGCTTCTGATGGGAGCGGTAGTGATGCTCAGTGATTACATATTTTATGGCCAAAATATGACTTTTTTATGATTTTAAATAAGACATTGTAGTATCACAGGTGTCCGCATTTAACAGCAATATTTTAACGCGTCTTTTTTTTTTGCGGAGGGAAACTTGTAGGAAATATCGTCTTAACTAACTGCAATCTTCACATGTCCCTATATTAGTAAATAAGGGCGAATATGGTTTTAAATAGAAAACGAATATGAAGTAAACATAATTGCACAGTATTTTATGGCGCGTGTCTTGCAGTAATAACTCTGAACACATGAGGGCGCTTTCACTTCCTTTGACCTTAAATCTCTGCTTTACTCTGGCAGCAATAACCGCCTGCCTCTCAGAGTCACAGGCTCTGATAGAGACTGGTGGGCGGTGGTGGCTTAGTGCCAGTCTCCATCAGTCTATGATACCATGGACAGCTCGCCATTACGTCATATAGCAGTATTTCTCCAGCAGTAGGAAGAAAATAGGTTTAAATTGTTTTACAACTTAAATGTGAGGAGCTGCACAGCATGAATCCTATTGCAGAAATAGTCAGTCATGTTCAATCTCGCTTAATGACAGGTATTAATTAATGAAATCAAACAATTGATTGATTGATTGACTGATTGATTGATTGATTGATTGACCAGATCAAAACCAAGAATGAATTTGCTTAAAAACAGAATGAGGTGGATCAATGACAAAGATCTTAAAGGACAGCTCAGCCCCATTTCTGAGCCTTCTTAGTTTTTAAAGACAAAAGTAGGTCTGAATAGAAATGTCTTAAGCTTCTTTGAGTGAGCCCAGACTCTCAAGAGAATATATAAACAAAGTAAGTCTTTTGACAGTGAAGCAGCAGCAGTCTGGATAGCGATCCTCTCATTTTATTTCCAGTCTTTGTGGCTGTGAGTAGATTTTAGTTTGAGAATCTGAGACTTTAAGTTGGAGTTTTTGGTTTAAACAACTCAGATAGTGTTTGATCGTGCAGGACCATGAAGTGGTAAACCCAGGATTTAAGAATATTCAGTTTTAATCCAACCCACTCTTTAAATGTTCAACCAAACCCTAAAAATATTTATTTTTTTCAACTACAAGAATACATAAAATTTATGTTGTAATAAAAACTATTTAATGGGAACTATTAAGTTCCCATTAAATATTTTTCACAGCTTCAGGATTGTAAAGGCGGAAGGTTTTAATGAGGCTTTTCCACTTGTGTACTAATTATGGGATAAAAATAAATACTAGCTCCCAAATACCATTAGAACATTAGAACACCAAGTAATCAATCAAACAATTAAATCAGGACTATAGAAAATTAGGATTATAAATTAAATAAAGTAAATAAAATAAAAAGAGTTTAAATAATGAAAGTCCTTCCCTTTTACGTTCTGGGAGAGAATGCTGAAGTTGTTTGTAAAGAAAAATCCTTGGTTGTTGTTTAATATGGTAAAATTGTTTAGCAGGTTGCAACAGTTCTATGGTTCAACTTTTCACTTCCTTAGAAGATAATTAGTAATTAAGCAACTATTTTTGTTGTTAAAAATATTTTTCCTATAATTGACTTATAGTATTTCCATTGAACCTGAAGATGACAGAGTTTGTTTATACAAACTTCTTGTATTGAAATCTTAAGGAATCCCACTTACCTCTCTGTTCTGTTCAGCCTCCAAAGGATTAAGATGACAATAAGATAACATGTTTAATGGGCAAATATAAATGGGATAATCTGAGGATTTTTTCACCTTTGAATAACTGAAAAATCCCTCTTTTCGATAAAGACAAACATAAAACCCAAACAGAACACAAAACATTTAAAAGTTCTGTTTACATACTGTTGAATGAAACTAATATTTTTTATATCAGCAAAACATAAAGTCATTATTGGCAAGAAGTTCAGTAGGAAAATATTTGATTCTTCAAATTCTCTGGAAGGATTTTCAGGCCCTTTTTGCTTCTTGGTTGTAACCTTTCCACCAGAATCTTTATCTTTCATTTTTCTGTAGACTGAGGTCTGGAGACTGGCTGGGTAACTCCATGCAATGATATGTGGCATGTTTGTTACTTAGTACCAAATTCTATCTCCAGTTTTCTGGCTCAGGAACAAAGGTCCTA